TCATGGAATCAGGCCTTAAAATCTTAGATGGTGGCTCATCGAATTCGCTTTCATCAGGTGTGAGTTCAAATTCAGATGGTGCTTCTGCACATGTGATGTTTTATCTTGTAAGCCAAAGTCAGTTGTAACTTTGTCTTGTTCAGAGGATGTAGCTTTCTTAGCAAAAAATGTATCAATTTTATTTGTTGTCTTCTTTATCATGAATATTTTATCTTTTTTCTCTTTTATGCTTGTACTCAGACATCATTAAATAGGGTTTTTAGCTACCTGCACACCAGACAAATAGTTTCTTCTCGGTAAAATCTGTTTGGGGACAATTTTATAAAGAACAAGTAAGTACACTGTAACAAAGAAAATACAATCGATAGCAAGTATTTATGTAGAATATCAGGTTTTAAAATTATAAAATGAAAATAAAATAATACGTAATTTCAATATTTCAGAACCTAAACGAAAACTAAAGTTTCCATTAATGTAAACATAGAATTCAACTCTATTCATTCACCCTGAAATCCATGAATAAGATTGCAAAATTAGGAATGTCAAAAATCCCTGAAATTTGCGAAATATATGAATAATTTCTGTTTCTTTATTAAAAAAAAAAGTATCTTTTACTTAGAATAACATCTATCAGTAAGTAAAAAAAATCGAACTTTTATTAACATGATCACTTACCGTCACTTCTATACATTTATCTAAAATATGAACGCGGGTTAGTTTTTATATTCGATGTATATTTGCATATTGATAGGGGGATAGATTTTTTGGACGCTCCTTCATTGTGAAATTGTTGTTAGTTAAACTAGAACATTTCAAATATTTGAATTATTTTACTAATTAAGATCATACAAAAGGTAATTTTTAATTACACATTACATTTTTTGTTCATTAGTGGTTATTAACTAACAAAAGGATGACATTTTATCGCATTTGGTTTGTTTTTTGTTTTTTAATTTAATTTACTTGCCTTTTGCACGAATCAATAAATAACAATTATCGGCTAAATTCGAAAGTTGAGTTTTTCGTAAATTTACTTTTTGATTTATTATTTGAGTACGTATTTACAAATAATATTTCTATTTATTTATTTGGAAGTTTGTTCTCTATGAGTTAAGTAATAATTTTCTCTTTAATTTTTTTTCTAAGGAGTTAAAAACAGACTTCCAAAACACAGCGACTATACTTATAAATAAAATAATGTCTGAAGAGCAAACAAGAGACACGACTGCAATTGCACATTGCACAGTCACAGTGAGTGTACATACGTATAAATATCTTATCAACTGAAATTATATCAATGATTTAGAAGAATGGTAAGATCTAATGCACTCACTGGCATAAATTGACTGTTAGTATTAATCCCTTCGTCAATTTAAAAATAATATTGATTAAAAAATTTTTTTTAAATATTTTGCTTGAATTCGCATTAAACCCTCTTATTGACATTTTAAAAACTTTGACTCAAGAAATTACATAATGCGAATTTAAATTTACTCAATATTTGTAACAAATTAGCATAATTACAGATGTAAACAAAATAATTAGTCAATATTTTAACTTATGCTTGGCAATGGCAACAGACAGGAATTTATAAGGTGTCCTTTCTTTGGAAATTCTAAATATCATATGAAAATTTTAGTGTCTTTTGGGAGTGACGGGGATGGGAGAGAGAGTTCGCTAAGACTTGACCGGTACCACAGACTACAGGCGCCAGATTTATGGTCACCAGAATATTTTTACAATATTAAAATAATTTATTGCGTGTTTTCGGCCAGGCAAGGGGTGCAAATCAAAAAGGATCCGATAAAGCTATGCCTTGCAGTCTAGCTGGGAACCAGGTTTGAACTTACCAGTGCCAAAAAAACAGAGACATTTTTTTACTGCGTTCATTCGTCGTAAGGTTTCTTCGTTTTCTTTTACTTTCTTTGTTTTTCTTTCTTTCTTCTTTAAGTTTGATTGCTAACGAAGATACTTTTTCTTCTCCAAAGTTTCATTTTTGCACGGTCACGGATCTGCCCGTACTTGTGCCCGGCAGTCCGCACGGCCATGAGAAACACACACAAGGGGGCCCGATTCAGGCGGGCCCCCTTGCAGTGTCGGGCCCTCGGACCAGGTCCGATTGGACCGATGACTCAGTCCGCCCCTAAGCCACTAAGAGGCAAAGGGTTACCGAGTTGTTAGAGAATATGAAAAAAAACTACTATTAAGGAGAGAAGACAATAAAAGAAGAACAATTCAAAAGATAACATGTGACATTGCATTTAATATGAAAATAAATTCATTTCTCTTTCAAATTATAACAAATTTAGTTTCCTTGGTATTACTGATTATGAGATATGGTTTGGGAAATCTAACATTTTTATAAAGTTATAGATTTCCAGCATCTCTAGTTTATCATGTGGCAGTTGTTAATATAGTACATCCTTTTGCAAATTAATTGAAACAAAATGAATAGTTCCATAATTATTCACTTTTTTTTCCTATTTTTCCAAGGAAACATGACCCAGTGCACATGTTAGTACTTTGTATGTCCGTTTCACAAAGTCATTCCTTGCAGATTGATCACAGATTCTCAATTAGATTTAAATTGGGAGAGTTTCCAGGTCAGTCAATAGGACTTTGATTTGCTCACTGATAAGGCTTGCAGCATTACACTTTATGCTTCCTTGGAGTAACATTCATCGCAGACAATGGCCATAGGACAACTGACTGTAAGCATATGAAACATGTTAGCACATTTGGTTGCATCTGGCCTGAAAGTGCTTTTAAATATTTGCCAAACAAGAAACCAAAATTAATTGTATTCAAGTAAAATGTCTTAAACCATTGCAATTGTTTCTAATACTAATTATTTACACTATTTAGACTGTTCAAACTGTTGTACTTACCTTTATTGTCATATTCACAACATTTCAGCTGATGTACACCGACCTTCTTCAGGAGATATACATTGGAATTTCAAACTAAAACCTTTATTTCATCCATCTGGGTAGATTGTTCTAGTTCCATGTGCCATGCCCTTCTTGGATATCTCAGTTTCAGTTATTTCCCTTTAGTAACTCAACTCTCCAAATTTTAGTTCCACTCTGCTGTGGCCAGGTACTGAACTCACAACTCTTTGGGTTAAGTCACTGGATTAATTTAACCAACACGTGGCAGACAAAACCAATCTACTCCAGTGGACTAAATAAAGGGTTCAGTTTGAAATTCCAATGTATATCACCTGAAGAAGGTTGGAGCATACAATGGCCAAAATGTGAACATGGCAACAAAAATGAGGACAACAGTCCAAAAAACTAAATAGTGTAAATAGTTAGAATACGTTATCTTAGAAATATAGACATATGTTTGAATGTGAATATGACAAAGATGAGGACAACAGTCTGAACACTCTAGTGCAAATAATTACAATACCACATCTCAGAAATATTGACAGATATTGAAGGTGAATATGGTAATAAAGATGAGGACAACAGTTCAAACAATGTAAATAGTGTAAATAGTTACAATACATCAACACAGTAATATAGACAGAGACTAAGTAATTAATTGACACATTTAAGTCACCAAATTATTAGTGATTTTCAAGACAAGTTAACAATTTCATGTAAAAGAGGTTTTATGGTGGCATTACTATTTTCTTTGAGTAGTAATGCCAGTTTAAATTATCAGAAATCTTCAGTTAGTAATTTTTTTAATTTAAACACATCATTAATGTCTGTGCAATATGTCTCCTAAGTTCGATAAAAATTTTCAGTTTAATTAAACGCACACATATTCCAAATTCCAAGGAATTTGAATAATGAATATCAACCAGGAATTATGAATCTTGGCTTCAGATCTCTTAGACGAATGTATTTACACCAAAAAAGGAAATTTGGTGTCAGATTAAACAACATTTTCAGGTTCAGATTTTATAAACTTTTTAGTAACAACTTGTGCACACATAAATCCACCATAACACACTTCTACACATTTCTATATCTGACATCAAGGCCTTTTATGAAGAGGTTTTGAGGAGCGTGGTACCACCTCTTAATTGCTGGTGTTCCCATGTCCACTTAGACCTGAGGTGGTAGCACCTGTCAGGGTCCCATTTATGGGCAAATAGATGACCCCTTTTCTGGGGTTAAAACACTATATAGGTTTTAATACCAGCAATACATTTTTGGAAAAATTTTTACCCAAGCAATACATTATTACCAAAAACACATTTTTGAAAAAATTATTACCAACAATACATTTTTGAAAAGAAAATAATACTAGCAATAAAAATGTTGCTGGCATTAAATAATCCATTGAAGTTGATATGCCATAAAACAAACCAAATATATTGTCAACTGTTCAGAAAACTATCTTTTCATCACAATTTTTATGAACTGAAAATCAGTAATAGCAAAATACAATGGCAAGACTTCAAAAGACTTCTTTTTCATCAATCATTTTATTTATTAGCCATGGTGAATTGTTTAATTGGATAATCCTATTACTACTTAAGATTTTAATTTATTCTATCAACACTTACACTATTTACCTTCAGACTATTGTCCTCATGTTTGTTGTTGCTATCACAATGTTTCTGTAGTTTTCTTCAAGTGTCTATAAATCTGGGTAACCTACAGGGAATTCCAAACTAAACACTTTATTTAATCTACAGGGTAAGACTGTTCTCGTTCCACTGCTTGTATCTAGGGATATCTTGCCTTGTTCTTATTTTTAGTACTGCTCAGATATTGTTTGCCCTGTTTCCACAGAGACCAAATACACACCGCCTAGCTCAGGGATTGAACTCACCATTACTATGTAACTATATTCATGTATCAATGCTAAACTCCACTTGGGCTTTTGTCCGATAGAACTTAAATAGTTTAAATAATGACAACATCTCATCCCAGAAACTCAGACAATGTTTATAGCAATAGAAGACAAAAGATAATACCTTCCAGAACAAATCATGATTTTTATACATTTATATGAAATTAAAAAAATATTTGACTCACTGTTTCCACTGGAAAAGAGCAGGAGGAACCGGACACACCATTTATAATAACGGCAATTTCCTCGTCTTATTAGATTAAAATTAATGTAGACCTTTGATGAGGTTGTTGTGATAGACTGAGGATAACTACCATTTCGTATTGGAACTGTCTGGATGATGTCTCCATATCTTGAATTACTGATCACAAGCTCTGCAATTGATCCAGGATCAGCTTCTAACAAGACAAAGTGTATTGTCAAGACATTGCCTGCTCGGGTTTCAATTTCCTGAAAAGAAAGCCAATCGAGAATAAAATCAACAATGAGCCATTGATCCATTGTTACTGAAGTAAATTTTTCTGATTTATTTAAACTAATATCCCTATCTTATTGGTTTTTATCATAATGTTTTGGCTGATCAGCTAGTTTTTTGCATTTCTTATCTGAAATCCTCACAAATCTCACATTTTCATTATTCAATGACTTATTTTAAAAAAATCTCATCCAATCTATTAGAAGATTTCAAGGTCAAAGGAATCAGTATATATAAGCAAACTCAAGTTAAAAGTGTGGATAGACTAAAAAATGATATTAACAGCTTGCACATATTTAGTGAATTAGCGTATATTTTCTCAATTCATGTTGACAAATTTTTTTTCAGAACAATAATTGTCTCAGCAAGAACTTTGGGCAGACAAAACTCAAACCATCTATAAAAGACGATTAGTGGAGATCAAGGTGAAATTTGAATGAATAAAAAAATGGGAAAAATTAACATCCTAAATGTAACTTTTTGCCAAATTGCATCTTTTTGCTGAACTTGTGGGAAATTTGTGATGATTAGCAAGAGGGCTGAATATCATCTGGAAAGGTACCAAATCAGAAAATAGGTACAACAGGTGTTCCCATGGACATCAATAGACCCACAGTAATCAGATCCTACAGTCATCTCTGTGCAAGTGTTCTTGCACATGGATAATCCTACACCCAAAATCCTTTTTAACTGCAAAATGGAAAAAAAGTTTACTGTTGATTCTAATCTAGAAGTTTCACTATTAGGTTAGAATCAAATTGGATGCCAGTTAAAGCTTAGAGTGCCCAGTCAATTGAATTCATGCTTATAACAAAATAATTCCATTTAAACTTTTGTGGTAAACAAATTTCAGTTTTAAACAAAGAGTAGAATATATAAAATGTGTTTTGTTATGACTTCTTTTAATATTTTAAGGAAAATGAAACACTTATACAAATTTAACAATTTTATTTATATTTTAATATGTTGTCAATATTGATTAGATTTTAATAGGTTGATAAATGGTATGGTATAATTGCAAAACTATTAAATAAAACATGAAATATTTTAAGTCCTTTGACGAGCCAAATGTCAAAAAGGTTTTTTTTTTTTTTTATCTCTGAGCATTGAAAGACTTTCCTTGCTTTTATGCATGCAAATTTTTATATGTGAAATTATGTTTAAATTGAAAGCATGTATGTGTATACATCAACAGTTGCAGTGAGAGGTAAAACTCAGATAGCAAGCTCTATAATTATTTTAAAGAATACTGATAATAAAATGGAAGAAAATAAATATTTATAGGAATTATGTAGATACTGCTCAGAAAAGTGAATAATCAGTAAACTGCAAAATGTAAGAAACTCTTACTGAAGAATCACAAATAGTTATTGAAATTTATTTTTAAAAAGTAATTGGCTTTTGGAAATTATTCTGTTTATGTATACTGGAACATTTGTTTTGCAAACATGCTTGGAAGACTTGTGAGTCCAGGTAAAAATAAGTGACAAAATATAGAATCCAAACAAGCAACAGTTAATAAATATATTAACAAAACAGGTTATATAGAAAGTTAATGAACAGTTCAGTACAATTTCATGTGTCTCTGAAGTACTTGCATGTCACTTGTAGAAAGAATAAGCATGTCTTGTTGCTTTGCAAGTCAAAAGATGCTTCAAATCTTGTGCTTCCTGTAATTATCACTGAAGTTAGTAATTCAATATCTCACAAACTGCGATTATCATCAGGGGGCAGTAATCTAACAAATACTCCCCTCAGATTGAAAAAGATTTTCTTATAAAATCTGATTTGTTACGGTATATTTCTAAATGTCATGGCAAATGCACAGTGCAACTACTTTTTATTGTGGTTGTTGGAGGAGTTGAAATTTTAGGTGAAGGCATGTTGTCTATTGGTTTGCTTTGATTTTTGTTAGACGTTTGTGTGATCTTTTCAATGTAAGCAGGTTTTGAACAATCAAGTGATACCATGTCTAAGGAAAATTTCCATATAATGTCACATTGCAAATCAAAGCAGAAATAGATGTTTTCAAATCTTTTGCCACCTGTGATTATTGCCAGGGGTCAGTAATCCAACAGGCTCAAAACTGGGGCCTAAAAATAAAGAATTACTTCTCTAACTTACCATTCCCTGAAAATATATTTTGTTACATTTTACTTTAATAATTTAAGGAAAAATTAAACATTTGGCAAGGATTTGATCCTTCAATTTTTATGAACAAGATCGTCTGCAAGATCATCAGAAAATGTTTGTCAAAAAAATTGATATAATGGAAGAACCCGGCATTCCCATGAATGATTACACTATTGGTAGTAAGTTCCTATAAAGTCAACTGTCTACGAGAGACTAGAGGACAACGGAAAGATAGGGAGAGTGAAGACGCTAGCATGTCCGACCTTCCAACTAGTGGCACTCAATACTAGATTGACCTGTGTATATAGCTGTACCGTATTTCATATTATACTTGTTGTGTACAATAAACCTTTCTTCTAGTATCCACCTGGTGTTACTTATTTATTCTCTTAGCACAAAATATAACAGTTCCGACAAGGATTGCCAGAACATAACAAAAATAAAAATGTGACCATTCAAATTTGTCTCTAGATTTTATTTTTGCACAAAAATGAAACTTTCATTTCTGTAACAAATATATGTAAGGTTTGATATACAAAGAGAAAAGTGATGAAATATTAAAACTATAAAGAAATAAATGTTGGGAATAATTATTATTGACTGTTAGGACCCCTTATATCAAAAACAAACAAGTATCAGCAATAATTGTTATTGCCTATTAGGGCCCCTTATACAAAAAACAAACAAGTCTCGGAAGAAAATACAGGTGTTTTTTGCAAGTGAAAGTTTGATTATGATCATAACATGTTGACTCTCAGTAAATGTCTACTTTCTTCCATCAGTCTTTGCTTTATATGTTAGAGCTTCAAATAAATAACATCTTTGATATATTTTATAAATAAACAATTATTCAAAATGACTTCTCTAATATCACATGTTTTATTCCAATCAATTCCAATTCTTATCTTGATTAGTTAAAGAAAAAAAATTTCTGAAGATTATTGAATACGGAATTCTAGAAAGCATGACAAATTGTTAAAAACCAATGTAGATAGGAATGTTAATGAAATATTTTAATTGTTGAGTAATAATTTAACAAATAAAAATAATACATTGACACGGTCACAGATTGACCGCAGTTAAGATTATGGAGTCATTGTGAACTCAATGATCTTGTCAATGGCTGTATAATATGTGCTATGCCAGAACTACATACAGTTTTGAATTTACAGTTGTCTTTCACCTAGACTGGTTACCAACCAATGCTAAAGAGCCCAGTCTGCCCTGCAGATGAGAATGTTGATATAAAAAAAATTGTCTAATTATTGAAATTTTGAATTGATAAGAAATAAATAAAAATCAAGTAATTCTCGTAACATACCTGTGTACAACCTGGAACAGCTACATCATCTACACTATGCGCAACCTGTTCAGGTATATATAGAGGGTATCGTCTAATTCCAATTCTTGGAAGGCTACAGAAAAAGTATGAACGCTTAAACATTTTTTCATAGTTGGCTTGTGTGGTCAAATTAACAGTGTAATATTTGACACCATCTCCCCAGTTGTTCATAATCTTAGTTTTTGTTATCATAGCTTTTCCAATGGTAGATTTTATCAGCACACCATGACCTGGTAAAAAAAAAAAAAAAAAAAAAAAAAGACAAATCAATGTCTATATAGTGGTCATGCTGAGCAACATGGTTTTTAAATAAATGCTTTTATTTTTTCAGTTAGACTAATATCTTCATCTTTTGTCTGTATTTCTGAGATGAGGTGTAACTATTTTCACAATTTACATTGTTCAAACTGTTATCTTTATTGTCATATTCATGATGTTTCGAGTGTTGTTCCCTCCGGACTTCTTCAGGTGATATTTATTGGAATTTTGAATCAAGCCTTTTCTGGATATATCACTGCTGTTCCCAAGGACACATGGCCCAGTGGATAAAAATGTTGATTAAAGTAATTCAAAAATGTGAGTTAAGCCAAAGAGTTGTGAGTTCAATACCTGGCCACAGCCGAGGTGAACCAAAACTTGTAGAGTTGAGTTACTAAAGGGAAATAACTGAAAGTAAGATATCCTGAAAAGGTATGGCATGTGGAACTAGAACAATCTACCTCAGTGAACTAAATAAAAGATTTTACTTGAAATTCCCAAATATATCACCTGAAGAAGGCCATAGCATACAATGGCTGAAATTTAGGGAATATGACCATAAAGATGAGGGCAACAGTCTGAACTATTTAAATAGTGGAAATCTTCATCTTTGTTGAGTTGTCATCATTTCATTGAATATATAAACACAAGGATGAAGATATAGTCTGAATAACTCCAACAAAAATGAAAATTTCTAAGAATTTTAGACTTTGAGGAAGGCTGAAGAATCTATCAGCCAAAACAGTGATTAAACTGACAAAAGAAGATTATTTTTTTTAAATCATGGCATATTAACTTAAAAATTCATACAATATTTATATTTAAAAAAATAAATCAAAAAGTAAATTTTCAAAAATACAGTTTTTTTTCCCTTGAATAATATTAATTCTGATGGTATGAAGAGAAAATAGTTGGCAGTGAATTTTATCAGATTTCACAGATCCTGTGTAGATGGTCTTATTCTCCAGATATAACCT